GTTACGCGAGCCTCTCACTGCTGTGACCTCTCCCGCTGCGGAGCACAGGCTCCGGACGCGCAGGCTCAGTGGCCCTGGCTCACGGGCCCAGCTGCTCTGCGGCATGTGGGATCTTCCTGGACCGGGGCACGAACCCATGTCCCCCTCATCGGCAGGCGGACTCTCAACCACTGTGCCACCAGGGAAGCCCTGATAGAGATTTTTTAAAATGGTAACACCTAACACTGTTAACAATGTGGGGAACAGGGACTTTTTATTCGCTCTCAGAGATGATGAAAACTGACACATTTTTGGAGTGCAATTAGGCACTATCCTTCAAAATATGCTTTAGGCTACACTTTGACCTGACAGCTTCCCTTTTGGGAGTTTGCCTTGCAGATATGGTTGTTCAGGCAGGGTGCACAAGAGGGGGATGCAGCAGGTACCATGCGAGCAGCCTGCTCTGTTCGCAGGAAGGGCTTTTCATGAGATGCTGTGAGAGGAGAGAATGGACGTGCTGCTTGGCTGCATTTGTGTTAAAATTAATCAAGCAGGTGCTTAGTTAACATCTACATAGAAAGTACATGGAAGGGTATGTTCCAAACTGTCGAGTGTGAGAGAACTGGGAAACAGGTCGGCGGGGGAGACAGAGGCAGAACCTGGCTGAGGCCTGTCACTTTTTACTCACCATAAGTCTACACTATTTCCTGTTTAAAGTAATGAACATGTATTACTTTTGTAATATATATTTTAAAGTCTTTATTTGCCTTTTATTGAAAAACCATCATGTTGAGGAACAAACACCCTAGTGGGTTATGAATTAGAAAAGGTCCCTCTGCACAGACCTACTATGTGTAGCCTCTGATGCTCAGAACCTAGAGGCCGATTCCTCTGCAAAGCTTTATATAACACAGTGACTATTCAACTTAGCTCTCATTAAATTTTTTTGCTCTCTTTTAGAAAAATTTAAGTACTGTATTTTATTTATTTATTTTTTGCAGTACATGGACCTCTCACTGCCGTGGCCTCTCCCGTTGCGGAGCACAGGCTCCGGACACGCAGGCTCAGCGGCCATGGCTCACGGGCCCAGCCGCTCCGCGGCACATGGGATCTTCCCGGACCGGGGCACGAACCCACATCCCCTGCATCGGCAGGCGGACTCTCAACCACTGCGCCACCAGGGAAGCCCTAAGTACTGTATTTTAAAAAGACTGTATTCTCTTTAGCAAAGAGGCCAGCTGCACACAGAAACTATCTTGATGTTTCTTAAATTGCCTTGTTATGACTGTTTTTATTATTATTATTATGTCAATATTTCCCTCCTCGTGTTTATTTATGCTTCCGAAAGTTCTCAAAGACTACTTCCGGGCTTCCCTGGTGGCGCAGTGGTTGGGAGTCCGCCTGCCGATGCAGGGGACACGGGTTCGTGCCCCGGTCCGGGAGGATCCCACGTGCCGCGGAGCGGCTGGGCCCGTGAGCCATGGCCGCTGAGCCTGCGCGTCCGGAGCCTGTGCTCCGCAACCGGAGAGGCCACAACAGTGAGAGGCCCGCTTACCGCAAAAATAAATAAATTTAAAAAAAAAAAAAAAAGGCTAATTCCTTCTAAATTTCAGGGTGTCCCCAAAAGGGACATTTACAGTTTTAAGGTCAGCAAATCCTGTGGCTCCCTGCTTTGTGCCCCAGCTACTGAATTACCTGGCATTCACCCTGAGTCTTACCAGCTAGTTCTCACCCAGGGCTGGGAGGAAGGTGTTTTAGGGCACAGATTTGTTTTGTGGGTGGACAGTGAACTTAGGTGTTGTGGCTAAAGAAGGTCGTGGAAAGAACGCCACACTGGAGCTCATACAGAGTTCCTCGAAATTCCGTGAAAAGCCATCGGGGTCCTTGCTTTCCCAGCAAGGTGAGCTCACCCTGGAAGGAGGCATGCCCAGACCCCTGAGCCCTGGCATCGCAGTCCTGCTCTTCCGTCTCACTGGGTGATGGGTTTGGGGTGAGGGCAATGAAGGGACTGGTCTGTCTGCTCCAATTTCAGACCCTCGTCCCCAGCCTGTGCAGGAGCAAGGACCCTCACCCCACACAGTCTGCCGCTCTGTCCCGAGGTCTGGGCCACTCCTGCCATGAAAACAGAGCCATGGCCTTGCTTCCTTGGGCATATGATTCTCTTGGGACCAAGGCAGCATTGTGAACACGGGGTCTCCGGGCCAAATGCCGCCCCTTCCCAGCAGCCCACCCTTCGTCCCTAAACACCCGCTGGAGTCATGATTCCCCTCCCCCTGCCCCTGGCATCACCCAGCATTACAGGGGCGTTACTGCCTGCGAGTCTTGAAAGTTTTTACGTGGATAGAATCCCTGTGGTCTGAAGGAGGGGTAGACTTGTCATAGAAAAGCTGTCAGGCCACGTGACGGCGGGTCCCCAGGAGCCCTTTGAGTCGGCTTTCATCTGGAAGCACTGGCTTCAGGGCTCAGTCACCAACACTGGTGCCAGAGCAAGTTCACATCTTTCAGTATCGCGACAGGATTTCCATCCTTCTGGCAGGACGTCCTCGTCCACGGTTGGGGAGACACAGTTTTAAACCAGTTAGGTGCGAAAAGGGCACTTGATGAAAGAGGCGTGTGCAGAGTGCTGGGATGGGAAAATCCCCACCATCCTTACTGTTTCCCCAGTTCTCTTTGAGGAGCTTATAAGTTTTTCATCTTCATGGTTGTTAAGAGGTTAAACTGTGCCCGATGTTTCCTGTTACTGTACTATCTGGGTAAGTACATATGCGGCTGCTTGTCATGCAAGCTTTCTAGAAATGTTGTATTTGACCTCAGGGAACAGAAACACCCTGTGTTCTTTCTTGCTGGCGTTCCCAATGCCATGGGCAGCTTTTGACAAACCGTCAGGCCCCAACTTTACACTCAGACAACTTTTCAAACAGGCCAAGTTCACTTGGCAGCAGGACTTGGGATTTCAGGTCTCAACGTGTTATAATTCAAAATTTAAGCTCAGGAAAATCGCGGGCACGTGATCTTCAAAAGTAAAAGTAATCAGGAGTTTCTGCCGACACTTCTGTGAGGGCCCGCACAGGACGGGGAGGTAGGGGGCGGTAATTCCCGTGGAAGCGTGCCAGGTTCACGGTGGCGGTCCTGCCCGCAGTCACCGCCGGCAGCTGCCCTGCAGGTCCGGCTCTGAGCGGAGCCCAGCTGTTACCAAGCAGTAGAGGCTGCCCTGAGACCACACACCCTGCTCCCCACTGTTCCCTGCATTTCCTCAGGGGCCGAAATAAATCTTCATTTGTTAACTGGCAACGTTTAACATTAGATATTCTGAAGATTCTTGGGGGAGAAAAATGTTCTTAACCTTGCTGGTGCTGCATTGGAATTGTTTGTCCTTGGTTTAGCATCTCCCTGTGGTGTGAGTACAGTGCAGTCCTCGTATCGAGAGAAAAGACATCTCACGTGGGAAGAAAGGTGTACTTGCACCCGCAAACTTTAAAGTGATGATGCTCAGCTTTAGATACAGGGGTGTCGAGAATCCCTGTCATCTGACCTTCTCATGTCCTCTGCTGGTTTGCAGTTTAACTCGGCGGCCAAGCAGCTGATCGAGTGGGACCAGCCTCCCGCGGGGGGCGTTGGCGCTGCGGAGGGCGCCCCGGCCGCTGCCCCGAGCAGCGCGGCCCCCAGGCAGCCCGAAGCCAAGAAGAACACGAAGAAGCGGCACTCGTTCACCTCCCTGACCACGGCCGGCAGGGCGTCGCAGGCCACCCAGCAGCGCCACTCCGTGGAGATCAGCCCCCCGGTCCTCATCAGCTCCAGCAACCCCACGGCCGCCGCGCGCATCGGCGAGCTGGCCGGGCTCTCGTGCAGCGCCCCCTCCCAGGTACCCGCACTGCCCAGCCCCGGGGCACCGTGGTGTCAGCGTTCGGGGGACAGCAGCTCTCCCAGGGCAAAGCCCTCTGCATTTGTGGGTGGAAATGCGGGGTGGCGGGGAACCAGCCTGGACATCCCCAGGTCGGCTCAGTCACCTCCAAAGGGCACAGCGGCAGTTACAAGATGACTCCAGTCACGCTGAGTGCTTTCCCCACCAGGCCCCCATTCAGCGGGACAGAGCCTTCTCGCCCCCTGAAACCTCATCTCCACCCAAACTGGAGGTGCCGTGGTCACAGTGTGGAGTGTGCAGCTGCCTGCATCTGTGTCACTTACCGTGGTGTTTAGGCTTCCAGTCAGGGTTACAGGGAAAGGACGGGAAGAAGCATTTAGTTTAAACTAGAAATTGGCCTAGCGTTTTTTTGTTTTGGGGTTTTGGGGGTTTTTTTGCGGTACGCGGGCCTCTCACTGTTGTGGCCTCTCCCGTTGTGGAGCACAGGCTCTGGACGTGCAGGCTCAGCGGCACGGCTCACGGGCCCAGCCGCTCCGTGGCATGTGGGATCTTCCCGGACCGGGGCACGAACCCGTGTCCCCTGCATCGGCAGGCGGACTCTCAAGCACTGCACCACCAGGGAAGCCCCCTATTTTTTTAACTTGTTAGTCTATCGAGACTTTGCATGGCCTTAAGACATAGCTACATGTTATTCTTGTGTTAATAAAAATACACTCGATGATTGGGAACGTTGGTAATTCATCTGGCAAACAGGTCTCGAGTGCCTTCTTACAGATGCTCTGGGCGCTGTGCACGCACCGTGGACCCAGGATGGAGAAGACATAGGCTTCTGTGTGTCAGACCGTAGGTGTGGGCAGACTGAGCCCTGGGCCAGGGGGCCACCCAGGTCACAGGCAGCTGCAGTTACCCAGGCAGAGGACAGCTGTGTGCTCTACCACCGGAGGCCAGAGAGCCGGGTCCTGAGCAGCCTGCTGCAGCGGGAGACACTGCTTTCAAGTGTTGTGTTTCATCTTAAAATTCATGCAGGTTTTATATACATTCCACTGTGCTTTGTAAAAACAAACATATACTACACAGGTTGATGCATGCCTGTTTTGGACCACGGAATAAAAATGTGCAGCGCAGTGTTTGGCATTCCTTACCAAGGTTATCGAAATGCCACTTGACCCCGTCCTGCAGGTCCATACTGGATCTCGTAGTTTCTAAATGGGATTGTGGCTCAGCAGCGTTTTTTTAGGTGGTGAGGCCATGGCACGTGACCCTGCAGGTAGGACACGGACACGCGCACAGAGATACACACATGGACACAGACACACACACACACACACACGGAAGAGGGTAGAGGGCAGAGGGCTTTGTGTGTTCACTGCTGTTCTCAAGCGTCAGACAGACAGTAAGCAGCATAAACGTGTTGAGTGAGTGAGTCACTTGGGCAGTGTATAGGGGAGAACCAGGAAGGGACCAAGCCTGTGGAAATAGACCCGGTTCCAGGTCTGAGCAAGGAGTATGAGGGGGGTGACCCCAGGGGGGTCAGAACTGCAGGTCCCTCTCTGAGGGAGGCTCTGACGGAGGGGCTGGTGACGAGGGCTCTTCCCTATGGAAAATCGGGTCGTGGGACTGTTTTTCATTTTGTGACCTTAGCAGCATTCACAGTGACGTTTTCTTGAAATAAAAGGTGAGCCTCTGCTGGGACTTGGGGCGGCTCAGCAGGGCACAGACTTGGAGGTGTGGACGGCTGTCTGTGGCCGAGGGGAAGGCGGGTCACCCAGCGTCTGTCCCAGAGGCCCCGGTGTCGGGCATGGCCCTGAGCGTGGGCACGGGAGGGTGGGGCTGTTTGTGTCTTGGGTGCAGTAGCTGAGGAAACGGGCTCCTCTCTGTTTCCATGAAGACAGCCTCCCCGTGTTCTAACAGGTTCTGTTCTCAGTGCTAACATGTTTCCTCAGGGAGAAGTTATTTCTAGAAGAGATGAGAGAGGTTTGCAGCGCTGCCTGGGTTCTCCAGCCTCGGCTCCGGCACGCACGCCCGGCCCTGGGTCCTGGGCCCATCACCGGGCACTACGGGCCACAGTGAAGCAGGAGCAGCCCAGCCCAACCCAGGACGGACCTGCTGTAGACGTGACGGGCCCTAGGCTGGATGTGTCTCCTGCTTTGGGCCTCGTGTCCTTCTTGCTTTTGCTTCACGCGGTTTGGTTGCTTTGATGAGAAAATCCAAAGCACGGGGCCTGCAGCAGTGAACATTCATCCTCTTGCACCTGAACGAAAGCCACATGGAGGGGGTCAGGCCACTGTGATGTCGCCTCCGGGTCAGCTCCCCTGTCCGGGCTCGTCCTCGTGTTTCCGGATGGCACTTAAAAGAGATCGCACTGTCACGTCAAAATCCTGCAGGACAGAAGGGAGCAGACAGCTTGCTTGTTATAGTATCGGTGACTCTGGCACCGTCAAATGCGAGAACTGGAAGGTGGTTTGTAGGCTGTGCTGTCAGGCAGGTCCCCAGCACAGGTGTGCACAGATGTCTGTGATGGGCGTCTGTAAAGCACGTGGTGTCACAAGCAGCTAGGCGTCTGTCTGCTCTTCTGGCCGCGCCCTCGATGTTTTGTGCCCTCTGCCAGCTACAGGAGTGATTCATGATGTTCAGTGCTTTGTAGCATTTTTGTGTTGCCGGCAGCTTCAGGGGAAGCAAGAAGGTCCACCCATTCCTTCCTCTTTGCTTTCCCCGCTCTCCACGTAGCCTTTTCCCGGGGAGGAAGCCAAGCCAGTGTGCAGCCCCACGGGAAGGAGTGAGCACAGTGGAAAGCCAGGCTGCCCTCCCTGCTCAGGGCATTCGTTCTCAGACCTGCCCCGCTCGGCCTGGTCACTCCTGCTGCTTGCTTTTGCCTTTAGTCATCCTTTGGTGACTCTGTCTCTTCCTTTACCCACATGGAACTGGGGTCTGCAGGGTCCTCCATGTCCAGGGCCGTGCGGGCAGAGACCCTAGGCGGCCTGTGGTCTACCCCACGCCCTCACAACGTGACTGTCCAAGTTCACAGGCTCGTTCAAGCTCATCACCCTGCCTCCCAGTCTGGGGCTCTTGGCGAGACGTCAGACACTAGTGAGGAATTCCTCCGTGGCTTGTAGGGTCAGGCCCTGGAAGCTGAATTTTGGCAAGTTTTTCCCACCCCGAAGGTTCCTAGGTAACAGCGTGTACTTTGAACGGAGCCTCATTTATCTTCGAAAAAAGACTCGTCTTTCCTGTGATGCCAACTTGCATCAGAGTACTTAATTGTCCTCAGAGTATGTACACAAACAGGTTTCTTGAATAGGATAGCTAGAGGCCACTAGGTTTTATCCTAGGATGAAAAATCCATGTGCGTCTCATTAGAAATTGAATGGAAATAGACTTTGGTTCACAGGAGAGATGGAAACTGAGGTTTGGCGGGGAGCCTTTGTGGAGGTGCCCCTTGGCTCTGCTTAGGTTCAGTCAGTGTATGAGCTGCCAGATACAGGTGTAGCTTTACAAGGATGTGGATTCCACGTAGCTCAGACTTGACCTGTGAAAATCAGCTGTGTGCTAGGATTCTGGTTGTCCTTGCCTGGCAGGAAATGAAAGTCCTTCAGGCCGTCTGGGAACTGATCTCTGAGCCTCTCTTTGTCCTGATAATCTTTTTCCTAATTATTGGGATTGAGGAAACTAGGTTTGGGGTTAAGTTTTTGTTACAAAAAGCCCAGCAATTTTGGTGGAACATTGTTTCCTGGAGAGACGAGGTAGCAGCCAGCCACATTCCTTTAATAGTGGAGGAAAGACTTCCCCATTTGTGCAGGAACCCACGCCCTCGGTCTGTAGTCACACCCAGGGTGCAGCGGGAGCGAAATTGGTCAGGTAGCCGAACACCTGCGATGAAATGACCTGAATAACTAGTCAATTAATCTTGGGTAGTGTCATGGATAACACACCCATTCTGTTTTTTTCTTTAAAGACTTTTTTTTTTTTGATGTGGACCTTCTTTTTTTTTTTTGCCTTTATTGAATTTGTTACAATATTGCTTCTGCTTTTTATGTTTTTGGTTTTTTGGACCCGAGGCTCGTGAGATCCTAGCTCCCTGGCCAGGGATCGAACCCGCACCCCCTACATTGGAAGGCAAAGTCTTAACCACTGGACCGCCAGGGAAGTCCCGATAAGACACCTTTGAAAACAGCTAGTTTGGCTTGATCCTGTTCCCTGAAAGGTTTTGTAAATAATTGCCTGCGATCGGCAGTCTGGTCAGCTGCATTTTAATTACGCATCCCCATGGAAGGGTACAAGTCATGAGAAATGACCCTGAAGGTGGCACGATACCTTAAGCATGTCATGTAGATTTAACGAGTTGGTGGACTGGTGAGCATTCAGGACAACCCACGGGAACAGGATCCTTGGGAAGGTGTTAATGGGCTAGTTGTAGGCCAGGCAGGTCCGAGCAGCAGTCATGTGAGGCAGCGGCTTTCGGGAAGGCCAGCAGCCGTGGATTCTGTACGTGAAATGTTGTCATGACCAGTGTTTGTCAAGTGGCTCCCTGGCATCTAACACACATTAGGGCCTCAGTACGTTTGGGCTGGATAACCTGAAGGGGATTCTTGAATGTTTAGCTGTGACTCGGTGCCCGGGGCTTAGCTGGTCTCATCTGTTGTGCGTGCATCCTCTTTTATTCACTCTTTTTTCCTTGGCAGGTCCACATAAGTACCACCGGGTTGATTGTGACCCCACCCCCGAGCAGCCCAGTGACCACCGGCCCCTCGTGCACGGTCCCGCCAGAGGCCCCCTACCCGGCCACCCTTTCGGTGAGTGTGCACCACCGCCTCCCTCCAGGCTCCCGTGCCTGCCACTTACAGGTGCGCAGCCCTATGGGCTGGCTGCCGCCCTCCTGACACCACAGCTCACCATGACGCTTGGTGAGGGTGGGGTCTCCATCTCTCATCCTCTCTCTGTTCATTTTAGCAAAAAATCACAAAGTCTCAGGCCAACAGCCAGCACTTTATTTTAATGGCAAGGGTCGGTGGCCTGAGGCTACAGGAAGAGCTCCGGGGAATACTTTTAATTTTCATTAAAGGTCAGCCTGATTTTCTGAGGCATAACCTTTGCTGCTTTTGGGTTTCTAGACCAGGCATATTTATCACAGTACTGAGGGAGCTGGGATCCTAGAGGCCGTATGGTTTGCCTCGGGTCACGCGATGCATGGATTCCTGTCTCCGATTACAGTTCCCCTTTTGGGTTCCTGGTCTTCTGTTGGTCTGTGTGACTGGCCTCCCTGGAGGTTATCAGATGTGTGATTCTCCAGAAAGCCCCGCAGCCTGCAGACAGCCTGAACAAAACCGCTGAGTGCTTTCAGACGGCCTAACGGGGAACACAGGAAGAGTGAGGGCAGTGGAGGGAAGCTGATACAAAGAAGAACTCTGTGGGGAGAAAACTGAAAAGGAAGGAGGGGAACTGCTAGGAACCAGCCTCTCTCATCCGGGCCGCTGCCTCGCTACACTTTCAGACCGTTTCTTCCAGTGCTGAGTTGAATGAGGGTAGAAAGGATCACTAAGTCCCTCTCCCCAGTGGACCCCAGCCCTTAGCTTGCTTCACAGAATCTCTCCCAGTTGTGATACCCTCAGGGGAAACAGTGTGGTCGGTGATGGGGGTCCAGCCCAGCCTCTCCTTTGTGATACGGCAATGAGGTCACTCAGCCTCTCTGAGCCCCTGGCCCTTGCCTATAACGTGAGAGTAATCATATCTGCTTCGGGGAGGCGGCACTGCCTGGAACTCAGGGAGGTGACCGTGAAAGAGCTTCAGCCTCTGTTGAGGGCCACGGCGGGTGCAGGCTGCCCGCTGGTTTCCTCAGAGCCCGGGCGTTGGTCTGGCTCATTGCTGGGGTTTTCTCCGCTGTCTGTACCGGGAATAGGGAGGCTCCTCCGCGCTGGTTTGTTTTCGGGTCGTGGACTTTATACATGTTGCCAATTCTGTTTCTCTCTTCTCGGCTGCTTAGAGACAGATTTGCACCTCCCCTCACCCCCCAGCAAGGACCTCACAGCATGTTAGTCAGATTGTTGTGTCCATCTGGTCCTATCCCCCTCATTTACCTTTTGCCTCGTTTTCTTATGTTATATTTATTTTGTCTTGATACATTTTATGAATAATTGAATGCCGACTTTGAAATCAGGTGGGATATACAGTACCTAGCTTGATGTAGACTTTTGAAAGCTTTTCATAGAGTTAAGCATGTTCCTGAATTTAAGTGGAAGTTGATAATTTCTGGTTAGAGGTTAAAGTTTTTTGTTAATGTTTCTGGAACGATGACAGCTTCCTTGATAGTGCATCTGTTTGGGGTGTGAGAAGTTGCATTGATTCCTTTGGGAGAAGGTGAAAGTCCCGTAATTTTTATGAAAACGTGGCTCCCCTGAGGTTCTCTTGGCCCTGGGTGTTTTGACCAGAGCTGAGTTGCCCAATCTTCATGCCCTCTCATCCCCAGAGAAGACCCTTCCCTCCCTCCCTCCCTGCCTGCCTGTCTTTCTTCCCCTTCCCACCCCAGTGCATTCACAACCTGTTGGAATTTCCATCTCCAGATGATTACTTCACGTGGAAGAATTCAGATTTCATTTCTTAAGGGGAAAAAGAGTGACTTTTCTATCTTAGAAAAATAATTAGTGGAAAAGACGAAGAGCTGTCTGCGATTCAGCCCTTGTGGGCTGACAATTTTACTATACGGTAAATGGCCAGTTGGTCTTAGCTGGGCGCACTCTGGGGCATATAGATGGCGACAGGTCACGAGAGAGCATGAACACACAAAAATTAATTTACATTCAGCCATTTTATCCCAGGATTATACAAGAGAGCCTGCATGTCCAGCAAGAGGACGGTTTATTAATGCTGCGTCTCTGCCAATTCCATTTAATGGAAAACTAATTATAAGCAGATCTGTTGCCTGTCACCCCGGGAGATGTCTAGATCTCAGAGTCCCTGATTGGCTGGCAGGA